TGGAGTCACAGGCCCTAAAAGATACCTTAAGGCTGTATTTGGTTTGAAGGAAAAAGTAGGGAAAGGAAGGGAAATGTAAGGAAACCTTTACAAATCTTGTATAAGTTTCCCTACATTTCCCTTCTTTTCCATACATTTTCCTTCAAACCAAACATAGCCTAAAAGTAGTCCAGATCTCATACAACTTTCTTCTTCACTTTCCTTCAATATGTGCTAAGTGTTCCATTATAGGTAGGGTTGGATTGGACCCTATCTAAATCAAAATCAATTTAGATGGATTGGAGGAGCCAATAAGACATTGAATTGGATAGTCCAAACTTAATGGTCCAATGTATTTATTGGATTGGATTGGATCTGGTCTATTCATAATGAATTTATATTGGATTGGATTGAAGCAATATCCGATTCATTGATAAAAGATAAGAATACAGGTATCAATAGGTTGGAACCAATCTAAATTAAAACCAATTTGAACATATTGGACCATCTAAACATTGAATTGGAGTGATCCAAAACGGTATAAAAATAATCATCAGATTGGATTGGACCTGCTCCATCTGAAATAAATTCATAATTGGACAGGATAGCATTGGACAAAATCCGGTCCAATTGAGGTATATAGACAATGTTTAATATAAGATTAACTTTTGTCTTTTATTGTTCTTTTTCTAAAGTAACTTCTTTTTTTCCTCTTTATGTGCTTGTGGTTATCAACAATAAAGCAGAGAACTTTTCTTTAAAAGTGAATATGTTATGGCATAAATAGCCTAGCTAGAGCCTCAGATAAACGGCCACGAAAGACCGTCCACCCGCACACACAAAAAGAGCTAAAGACGACTCCACCATTTATATTAGATATATAAATTTTCTTTAGGTTGGAACCAACCAACAAATTGGAATGCCTTTTAGCTTTTATCGCCTTGCGCTTGCAGGATTCGACTAACATCCTCGTCACTATATTCTCTCAGCAGGTAAATTATGCTTCGATAAACCTCTATTTTTTTAGCTTTGGCTTCGAAAAACAAAATTGAGCCAAGAAAGAAGTGTTCGAGATCGAGCATTTCGTAAAGGTTGCTTTTCAAAACACAACAGAAATCAAAATACTTTTACGCTCTAATGTGGTTTGAAAGCACAAACCCTGAAGGCCTGAAATTCATCCAAATACAACCTTAGATAATTTCTGTTTTAACTTTTAATGCCTGTCTTTTAGCAATCGGTACGAGAGGCAATGCATGATAACGAAAAAAACGTATAACAATGAATCAACTGACATAGTGGGTCAAAATCTATAGTGCATTTTATGGAAGTTGTTATAATTTAATTCAAACATAAACAAACTGTGATAAAATAATACATTATAGTGATATCTGTTGTGGAAAAAGTCTAAGAAAACAGATTTGAACGGTACCCGAATAAAAGTAAAATAGAGATAAAGAGAAGTAAGCATAGAGAATACATAGATTTATGTGGTCCATCTTATAATCTATATCCACGGGTGAAGAAAGAGCAAAAATCCACTATGTAGTTAGCAATGGAGAAGAAATTCAGAATTGTGTACACTCAACCTCATTTATAGAAAACCCTAAACCTTAAAATATACCTAATGTCTCTCTCTTCTCTTATAAGACAAAGATTAAGTATACAAAAGAAAAAACCCCTAAAAATACATAATTATTCGTATTCGATTTAGACCTATAAACTGAATGGATCGGGTCCAACCCAAACCCTACACTTTCACCACAAATTACTATGAAATTTTTGCCTTCAAATTTTTCTCAAATTATTTCAGAACGGATTCATGAAACAGGTGACCACAAAAAATTCAAGACACAAACGTAACAATACCTTTTCGTGTAGTTAGTCTTTAATGATAAGCACACATGGTAAAATTCGAACAAATGAAAAGTAATTAAATACACATGATAAATCATATTGATTGGAATTTTGATATAATCATATAACATGCCATAAAAATTTCGGAAAAGTATAGACAGACCCGATGCAGATTTTTGAATTTCACTGTAGATCTATATTCAAACATTCAAAATATCAAAAACCCCTATTCTATACACCAATATCGCCCGTGAATTAATATCAATTCCGAGCTTACACCTACCCGATCCCAACTGTACTTTAGGCCAAAAAATTCTGACCCTCATGCGCACAATCAGTTGGTGAAAACTTCTGACTATTTGGGAAAAAACAGGTTGGGCTGTTTCGGGCTTCCTGCACATGACATGTTATGATGGGCATGAGGTACTTGCAACCAAAATTCTTCTAGCAGAAAAGTCAAGCAAGAGACTGAATGGGATAATGTGTCGTGGATGAAACTCCCAAAATCTCCCCATCAGCTCAAAGCTCTTGACGTATCATGTCTCTCTAGTATCATATATATTTTTTGGTAGAACTGATCTTATAGATTTACTTCCTCATTCTCCTTTCACCTTTTCTCTTCTAAAAACACAGTGGCTCTAGGGAGTGTCATAAGCACAAAAAAGCAACATTATAAACGTTTCAACAAAACCTTATCAAATGCCACTGAAGCAGCTATCTCACCCTATATATTCCTATTTCACTTTATTAATGCAAATCAAGGGTCCGTTTGATTTACAGTTGAAAGTATAATTGGAATGGTTTATTCCCATAATCTGTTTGGTTTAAACAAGAATAGGAATGCGAACTAGAATTAGTAGAAATGGGATTTCATTCCCAAGAGAGAAGCAGGGAATGGCCATTCCTTACAGAAATGAGAATGGAATTCTGATTCTGCCCAACCAAACAGTTGGAATCGGGATAGTTCATCCCGATTCCGCTTCTAGATCCCTATTCCCACAGAAAATGAGGCCTAAGTATCTCTAATCACAAAAAATATCCTTCTTTGTTCCTTAGAGGATGCTTAGTAGTAGTAGTGTTGCATTGCTATTGCATTTGAGGTTGATCAATACAAATTGATATTTCTACCTAAAACATCAAATTTGATGCGTCTCACATTCATGCATTTTTCTAACTGAAGTGGCACTCATATATGATCTGACAATACATGTTTCTCATAAATTTGTATTGATCATGGTTTTAAAACCATTGAATCAGAGAACAAACTGCTAACCTAGACAATTGAAGCACAAAACAATTTGACCCAAACAATGATTCATGGTTTAACAAAAAAATATTTAGGCCCCGTTTGGTTCGCTGGAATGGACTATTCTGATTCCCACTGTTTGGTTGGGCAGAATTGGAATCCCAATCCCATTCCTGCTATAATGGCATTTCATTTGAAGGAATGGCCATTCCCTACCCCTCCTTTGGAAATGAAATGCCATTCGTGCTGATTTCAATCCTCATTCCCATTCCTGTCTGAACCAAGCAGACTATAGGAATGGACCATTCCAATTCCAATTCTGAACAGACCCTTAAATAGTGGGAACGACAACAAAATGCCACTATACCAAACACCCCTTAAATATTACTATTATTTATTAATTAGTAGCTAAATATATCTTATATTACTAATATTATAATTTTTAGTTTGAATTTTTTAATTTATTGCCTTCATAATTTAATTTATAGTTTTTTTAGTTATCAAAATTAAATTTTATTAGTTAATAATTAAAATTAAATATTTAACAAAAATTAATAATAAAACAACAAAATCTATCTAACCTAAAAATAATACTTGATTGGATGTCAAAATAGATATATCACATCACCTTTTATTTAAAATTTGCTTAACAAAACTCATGCATGGCATGAATCCCAACTAATATATATAGTTATAATGCCCTCTCTGATGAAAATTTTGGGGGTTGGTTTGGCATGGCCCATGGCCTAGGCCCGCATGGGCCCGTGGGCCAAGCCTTGGCCCAAGTCGGGCTATGGACTAGGCCAAATCTATTTTTGCTTATTTATTTAAAAAAATTGAAAAAAAAACTTAAAATTTTAATTTTATATGAATTTTGATGTATACATGTCAACATTCGATTTTTGCTCGGTCCGTCACCTGAGCCTCCAATTCACCCCAAACACCCGATCAGACCCTTCCAACCTCTCCAAAACACTAAAAAACCTAGAAAACCCAAATTTCACCTCGAGAACCCTCAGATCCACCGTTAAACCTACTCGATACCTATCCGATGGCCCCGATTGACCCTCACTTACACGGTTACACCTCATCCATTTCATCAGACATGACCACCAGACCTGGGACATCCCAAAACACCTACCCATGAAATTTGAACTCCAGATCCCTTCGTTCACTCGTCCATCAAACAAAGATTCCATTTCGACCATTCTCACACCCATAATCCATATCCTTTTGATCCGAACACATCTAAACCAATCAAACTTTTCCAATCACCCTAGAATACCGAAAAACCCCTACATATGAAATGTCATCCCAAAACACCTAAATTTGCCCTCAATCACATAAAGATTTCATTTCGAGGCTCTAGATTGATCGGATTCCAAATCCGCCCGATCCAGGCCCAGTCAGCACAACCCAGCCTTACCAATCACCTCAAATTACCCAAAAACCCTGACCTGAGAAATTCCAGCTCAAAACACCTTCATTTCCCCTTGATCACACAAAGATTTCATTTTAAGGCTTCAAATTGACCAGATTCCAAATCCGCCTGATCCGGGTTCAGTTGATTCAATTTGACCTTGCTGATCACTTCAGAATGTCCAAGAAACCTATCCTATGAAATTTCATTCAAAAATACCCTCATTCACCCTTTCATCCAAGAAGATTCCGTTTCGATCAATCGCATTAGCCCCCACATACAAAACCCCCATCCCGGTGACACCCACCTCAACCCTCCTTTGTTTTTTAACCAAAACCTCAGCCGTCCATCAAGAACCCCGATTTGACCACCCTCGGACCCGGCTTGACCAGAACTTTTTTAAATTACAAAATACCCCCCATATTTTAGAAATTACAAAATAGTTCCCTACCCCCATATAAAAACAAGATGACTCTTAATTAAACCGAACAGGGAGAGGATTTGTCCGAACAGGGGAGCCGCGCAAAGGAGAAGACTGTTCATCTTCTTCCTCTTTCGAACTAGCGGCGGGAGCAAGGAAGGCCGTCCTCCTCCTTCGGTTCGCTGCTCCCTCCCTTAAATTCCAGCTTTTTTCGCCTTCGTCCTGCTCTCCTTTTTTTTCTTTCGTTTCCGCCAGACTCAGCCATATAGCGGCTGTGAGACGAAGCTCTACCACCATCAGTGCTCCTCCTCTCTTTCCCTCTAGTTCCTGTTGTTCCAAAATACATTACGGTCGCCATCGTCAGTGTCGTTTGCCATTTATCACTCCTTCAACGCAAAACCGAAGAGTTGCAGAACGAACCTCTCTTCGGGCTGAATCCCCTGTGCAATATCGGTGCTCTAACTGCCGGACAATCTTAGTTTCTTCTCAATCAGAAGCGGACCATCCTTCTCCCCATCGAAGTCTGGCCAGCCGTTGTAGTATCCGGCGACGTCTTAGGGAATCAGCACAAATCAGGATGGTAGGGATGAATAAAGGGAAGAGCCGATTCCCAGTAGGCTCATGTACCCTTCTGAATCCTATCTTGTTTGAATATTAGTTTCGCATATGTTGATATATTCTCTTTGCGATGCTGGATTGTTTATCTCTTTATCTGAAATGCTAGTTTCTCCCTTTCATCAATCTTCTCTGATTTTTTTTCTTTTTTTTTAACCATTTAATAGTATATNTATATATATATATATATATATTTGAATCCGTCTTTGCTTATCGTAGTTTAAATCTTAGTTTCAGTTGTGTTCCCCTGTTTCTGTATTGGTCTCATTTTATTTAAATTTTATCTGATGTATCTTGCCGAATCATCAGTGTATGTAGCTCACTGTTTTGCCGAATAGTTCTACCGCTTTTTCTTTGATGCATTTCGTCAAACTGCTTTGCTGAACCATTAGTATGACATTTTATGTTCTCTGAGTTATCTTCATTTTATGTTCTCTGAGTCATCTTCCGGTTATACTGCTTTGCCGAACCATTAGTATGTCATTTTTTGTCCTCTGAGTTTTCTATTCAGCATGCGGAGTATTGGAAATTGTAGGCTCTCTATAATAATGGTAGACTGTTATTTCTTTGTTCGGATTATTTTCGTTTAATAATATGATTTAGGCCTTTAATTAATTCAAAACTGTTAGTTTCTTTAATTCCTTTGGTTTATATATACTTGTCCTCAGTTTCCCATGTGGGCCCCACCTTTGGACTCAGGAGAGGGGTGCCTAACCCCTTTCCTCTCTCATCCAAGTCTTACCTGTACTGACTGGACCTGTGCATTGGGTTATTTGGAGTCACTACTAAACTGAGTACGCTTTCCGATGTTGCTCCCGAGGTCCCATCACCTCCATTTCTTAATCTGAAGGGTGGCGTCTCTATTTCCAGCCCATATGAAAAAATGAACCAGTTTTTTCCGATGTTCACAATACAATTGCTTATATATACAATAATTAAATAAATTAGTATAACAAAATTAAAAAAAAATTGTTTATTTTATTAATATATTATATACTATATATTATATAATTATAATTTATATAATATATTATATGATATATGATATATATAAATATTATGTATATATATATGGGCCGGGCCATGGGTCGTATGGCCTACTTGATCGTGCCATGCCGTGCCAGCCCGTGGACTTCAAACCCCAGGCCCAGCATGGCAAGGACCATCGTGCCGAGCATGGCATGGCCCATAGGCTGTCGTGCCATGCCATGTCGGGCCGGTTCAAAATTGTACGGGCAGCCCAGCACGATTTAGTGCACCACCGCTTTACCCAACTATTTAAAAATGAGTGGGTTTGATGAGAGAGGAATCAAAATAGTCCCTATTTCACAGAAAGCATGACTCTTGTTACAGGTCAATCACAAAAAAGGATCCGTGAAACACACTGATGCACTTCCACAATTGTGGAGTATTTGCTGGGAGCCTACCGGGCATTTTCGTGGGTGGGTGGTGGTTTGGGTTCGCATGTGAAAAGACTAATAGTGGCCTTGTTTATTTTTGTAATCAAAATTAACACATAGGGTTACTTGTACGTTTTAGCAAAAAGCAATCGGTCACTCCCTGAATACTTAACACCGAAGCAACAAGAAAACATATATTACTAAAAAAAAACTACTCTGACTATGGAGCCCGGTGCATATAGGCTCAGTGAAGAGCTACAGATGGGATGGGCCTAGGTTTGGCTTAGCTCGAATTAAAATATAGGTTTAATTTATATAAAATATATAGAAGAAGTACAAATATATATAAAATATAAGGATTTGTGCTCTACATTTTTGTATTCGTACTCATTTTAAATTAAATACAAAATCTTATATTTTATATTATTTTTTATATATTTATACTGTATATTTGTATTTATGCTCTTTTCAACTGAGCCTTGAACTGTATTTGATTGCAGTGTAATTTAATTTGTACTAGTACAAATGTACATGAACGCAAATGAGAAGAAAAATGCAAAATTTTATTTAATTTTATTTTAGGTTTTGCTTTATTCTGCTTCATGTCTTAATTTACTTCATTTGTAAATGCGGTCAAATAAAATAAGCTAAAATTTGAAATAAAAATAGGTCAAAATTTATACTCAAATCATTTGCACTGCCACACTTTCGTATTTGTGCAAATTTATTTGCATTGCAACCAAACACAGCCTTGGGAACAAATTCGAAATAATATTTGATTTGAATTATAATTGCAAGCTTGAATTTGGTTCAATTAGACTAACCAGTTTTACGAGCTGAGCTTCATTAGACCTGAGCTTGACTTGTATCAATTCACATCAAATTTTTCTCGAGCTGAGTTTGAATAGCTTGAAAAAAACTCAATTTATTAGCTTTTGAGTTATCACATCTTTCTCGCATCATAGATTGTCCAGCAAATATAAATGACACAGTAATAAAATCGGATTAATCCTTATAAGACCATGCTCACACCGTTCACACAGTCCCTTGCAGCCTTCCATTAGAAATATCTTACCATTCCATGAAAAAAAAATCATGGTCTTGCGAGCACTGAATCCAATCTCCCCAGCAAGGCAGCAATAGGCCCAAGTCCCTCTTATATATAATATATTGAATGGCAGCTTGGCCCGATAACCAGACTCAGCCGGCCTGGTGGTCTGGCCTAATTCCCCCTGTATGGTAACCCCGGCAGATTGCCACAATTCTTTTCTATTGGTAAGAGAACTCTTTTTCCCTGCTGTGACTCTGTGACTCTGTGACTCTGTGAGTTGGTGACAGTTACTACCGTTGACCAAGAGAAGTCATGAATATCCTGGCAAGATCAACACAAAGCAAGAACTAGAATCACCCATCATCTTGTTGATCTTGGCCAGGTCTATGCCTTTGTTATTTGGTGTATGGCTAGTAGAAACTGCTTCTGCAAGCACATCGAAGGAGGAGAGAGAGAGAGAGGAAAAGAGCAAACATAATTCTATATGATATTTTTCTTCTCTCGTTCGTTTTCCTTTTTAGTATTTTTATCTCAAGACAATCAGTTCTTTTTACAGAAAGTCGGCTGGTTGTAAGTAAAAGCAGGAGAGATCATTTCTTTCTTTCTTTCTCTTTTTATTGTTCCTATCATTTCCACTGTAATTTAGACCGGCAAAATTGGGGGATTATGGCAAATTTGTGGAATTGATTTCTGTAGCAGTTATCTCGAAGAATATAATCTACCGATCCCGGTGTCTAATGGTCCGCTTCTCTTTCTGATACTCAGAGATTCCAATAGAGAAAGCGGGAGAGATTCGGAAGCAACAGCGAAATCGAGTATTCCAATGGAATAGATTCTCTTGACGGATGTGGCGAGTCCTCTACCTGCTCCTCTATGGCAGCTCGGAAGAAAGTGCCTCGTCATGTTGGCATCTCTGGATTGATGGAGAGAGGCGGAGAGATTGAAGAAGATTTTCTATCCCACAGAAACATCTATGATAAGATTTTTGTGGCAGTTGGAAAAGAAGTAAAAGAGAATGAATCCACTCTACTTTGGACGTTGAAGAACTCGAGAGGGAAGAAGATATGCATCCTTCATGTTCATCAGCCGGCACAGTTCATCCCGGGTCCGAGTGAGTTGGATCTAAATTCCTGGAAAATAAACTTTACCGATTTATTTCCTTTTATATAATTTAATATTTGAATGTTCCTTTCCTAATTTTCATTGTTGTGAGTTCTTGAAAACTCCCTGGGGCATCTATGACTACAGCAAATTGATCGTCCGGATGAATTCGGGATAAATTTAGTTGAACTCGATGCAATGGATTCTAGCTTTTAACCAGGGGGTTATCTGAAATAAGTAATCTTGAACAGTAACTAAGAATTTATCAGCCAGTATCAAAATGATAAGCTGTGGACAAAATTTTAAGGATGAGGGAGTGAGGATTATATATAGTCCATTGAGCCTTGTGAATCTGTTCCAAGTTGGAAAAAGTAGGATGAAGTTAATCTAAACTGACTTCTTTTCCAAGAAATGTACAATTGATGTTGGAAGCCATAGTCTTCTCTGAAGTATTTATGAGCATGAATGATCAATCTAAATCTTCACTTCACCTTACCCCCTACCCCCACCCCTTATATAAAATGGTAAAGGTAAATGTCTAAATGATTCTCCAGTTTTTATACAACCTCTTGATCCCGTAACCAAATTTTGTAGTTTCCATTGATTACTAATGTTTTTTTCTTTATTTTTTGCCATTTATCTTTTCTGATTTGCAGTGGGTACAAAGTTTCCAGCAAGCAAAGTGAAGGAACAGGAAGTTGGCGCATACAGAGAGCTGGAAGAGCAAAGGATGCATAATATTCTAAACGAATACCTTGTCATATGTATTAACCAAGGGGTATTGTTACTTTTGCTTTTCCCTGCTAGTCTTTCAACTAAAGTGATAATTGAATGAAAAAATGGTTAAATCCTTGTAGCAATTGTGGAATTGAAATAATGACATGCAGATTTAGCTAAGTAAATGGTTGAAAATAGAGGAGGGACATTGTTTCTTGTACTCTTTTGATTATTTAAGATATGTATATGCATGTCACCTGTGTATGTAAAGAAGTAACTTAATTGGTCATTTAGGTTTATTGTCAAGATAACCTACTAGCTTCTGCAACATGGGGAGATGATATGTAGTATCTGAGCTGTCTATTGGCTGGGGACCCTATACATTGACCATGTGTGATTCCCCCAAACAAGGTCAGCCCTATACCCATTGATTCCCCAATAGCTAGGGAATTCTTATGCTTCAGATATTGGATTTTCAATGCATAGGAGTTCCAGTGCATCAAAAGTTCAATGCTAATGCATTTGAATTCTCACTTGAATTTCAATTCACACAATAGCTAGGGAATAGGGAAATGCTAATACAATGACACAGCAAAACAGTGATAAAAATAGCACAATTAGGGGTTGGTGTTTATGTAGTATTCATAATAAGCCTTGCTTTTCACTCCAATACCACTGCCTAGCATATTTTAAGACCTATTATTTGAGCATCCCCTGTTTTTGAGAAAAAGGGCACTCTTATTAAGGACAAGTATAACAGTTCTGTTATCTAATACAATAAAGCTAATCCTTGAAAACAAAAACATTATTACCCTCTAATACTAATTAATAAGGGGCAGGCTATGTGGGGTCCTGGAAGGGTGGAATGGATTCAGATCTAACCTCTGTGTTTTCTTGCATGAAGTTTTCTCTGACTCAAACCCATGTTCTCATGCTTGTCAGCCAAAGATAATTTCACTGATGAGGGATGCCTTGTTTACCAAAAATAGGGAGTGCTCAAATCAGCAACTTTAAGGAAATGCTAATGAGAATGGCTATTCTCGGAGTTAGCTGTTAATGTAACATTATGAACCTTGAACCTAATAGCTGTTCCATACTATATCACTTCCAAATTTGAACCATGATTTTAAAATCATGAGATCCACACAACTTTTGCTCAGATGTTCTAATCAGCTATTCACCTCATTATCTCATAGATTAATAATTATGCTATCCAGATACAACAAGGGCATGGCTGGATACAGTGTCAGATATAGAATTTAAACTAAAAATCAAAGTATTGGACATGGTATGGTGCCCTAGTACAGGTATCTGGTAATCATAGATTAATACTAAAAAAATCAATGACCTAAATTGTTTCATTTTGTAGGTATGGGCAGAAAAACTTGTCATTGAAAATGATGATATCAAGAAAGGTATTGTAGAGCTTATCACTCGTCATGGGATAAAAAATCTTGTTATGGGAGCAGCAGCAGACAAGAAGTACTCAAAGTATGAACTCCAAAAGGACTACCTTTATTTCGTAGTCAACATGATCATCAAACTTTTGATCTTAGGTGTTCTACAATACTTGTCATATACATGCTAGACCAATTTATGAATCTTATTTCTTGAATCAATGGACTATGTTTTAGAATCCAACAGTGCCCAAAGATCGAAGTATTGATTGTAGGAGTTTATTCTTGAGTTAAAACCTTGGTTTATTACACTTAACCTCCTTTATTTTCTTTTTGATAACTAACTAGTACAAGAACTTGCTTCCAAACAGTATGAGCTTTTCAATAGTTTGTACAAAACTGAACATTCAAAGGATGGAAGAGCTTTACATTTGCAAGAAAAACTACTATCTGAATCCATCCATGAAACCCCAAACTTAGCTTATCTGCCAAAATATTTAGGTTGTAATTCAGTTTGAGAAAAGACAATAGTGACATTCTTTATTAATGTCCTTAGAGAGCTACGGATGAATGGTGTCTTTTATTATTTGGTGCCTTGTATTAATTAAGCAATGCCTATTTTGTCGGAATACATTTTCTGGGATGGATGAGCTGGTAAATTCAGAATGATTTTGATGGGAAATTTTTAAAAGCAACATGATGGTCTCATTATTTCAGGAGAATGACAGATCTCAAATCGAAGAAAGCAATTTATGTGCGTGAAAAAGCACATTTTTCCTGCTACATATGGTTTGTTTGTAAGGGGTTCCTCATCTGCACAAGGTAGACTTTGGATTTGATAAAACAAAGCAGTCTTATTGCTTGTCATGGAAATTTACACTATAATCATATCTAAACAGGGAAAGAGAAGGTATATTTGTATCCCCTCCAATTCTGCCATCCAGTCCATTCAGTGAAATCAGCCAACAAGAGTACTTGAAATCTCTATCCTTTCCACAGGCACAGGTCCATTCTTTGGCACTTTCTAACCCATATCAAAGTGACTTTGGACAAGCAAGATCCTTGCAATACAGCACTCATGAGCATGGAGAAATAGGTGCAGCATTTTCTTCCCATGAAGGGTCTGGAAGAATACAAACACCAGAGAGACAGTTAAGTAGTGAGGGAATTGCTGGTGAATTGGAAGGTATATCAGGAAAAAAAATCTCTCAGGGTTCAGAGGATCTAACATGGCCTTCAAATGAGGAGGCAATATCAGTAAGAGAAGATCAGAGTGATGATGGGTCAGGGTTAATCTCTTGGCATGATTCTAGCATGGAACTTCGCTATTCATCTCCTGCAAATAGACAACTGGTATGTATTTCTACAACTGGTCACTACACTCAGTCATGCCTGTTAATAATGGTTTGCATTTGGACATGGCCACTTGGATTGGGCATTCTTTCCATATTCCCAACACTTAAACATAGCAACATTACCTGTGTTCAGTGCCTCAGTTCCACATTTGTATTTAAATATAAAAATCAACTATTGGTTAAAATACTTCATCCTTTGCTTGGATGTGTTATTGGCTTGATTTGACTGTGAGGCTGAGTGGACTTGAAACTCCCTCTAAATGCTAACTGCTTGAGATCTCCTGCAGATTTTAGTGCTTGGTATTTTTATTTACCCAGTCTGTTAAATTTCTTTTAACTAGGTGAAAGAAATCCAACATTTGTAATTATGAGAGACCAATGTTTCTCAAATACCATATAGTTGGCTAATTTGTAGAGTATCTTTTGGATTTTTTAGCTGGATGAAGGAAGAGGAAATGGTAATATGTATGATCAAATGAAAAAGACCATGGAGAAAGCCATCGAGGAGGCTGAGAAAGCAAAGAAAGAAGCATGGGAAGAGTCTACTAGGCGTCAAGAAGCCGAAATGGCCCTATTGGAGGCTCAGTGCAGGGTAAGTTCATCGATGGTTCTTAAGTTCTTTGTTTCCTTATTATGCTTTGACCTTGCCAATGGCCGGATACTTTGATGGGCTTAATATTTCATCATGAAACTTTAGTAATTCTTGTTGTTGTGCTTAATTGGCTACGTCCCATTGTAATTCTCCTTGAGTTCCCCTAGAAAGGAGCATCATAGTGTGTGTGTGTACAGTGATCTAACAGTCAAGTTTTACATGAAACTAGAGAACTTTCATCTTCTTCTCATGAAACTCACCAATCACAGCCAAATTTTTACAGGCCAAGCATGAACTCAAGCAAAGAGAAGAAATAGAGGAATTACGTGCAAAAGAAAAACAAGAACTAGAAAGCATGAAGAGACACCAAGGCAAAGTCTTGGAGGATCTTCGGATTGCACAAGACCAGAACTCAGAATTGGAGCGGACATTGGAAGAGCTGGAGCAGAAGTTCTTCTCTGCCGTCGAACTCTTGATATCTCTTAAGAGCGAACGAGATCAGTTGCGAAACGCAGTCAGAGAAGCTAAAAACGAACGAGATCAGTTACGGAACGCAGGCAGAGAAGCTAAGGGGCTGAGGAGGAGTGAAGAGGAGGGCGAGAACCCGGAGAATCTGCATTTCTTTTCGAAGCTCTCTTTATCAGAGGAGGGCGAAATCCCGGAGAATCTGCATTTCTTTTCGAAGCTATCTTTATCGGAGATTGAGGAAGCAGCTCGCAACTTTGATCCGTCCTTGAAGATCGGTGAAGGAGCAAACAGTAGTGTCTTTAAAGGACTTCTTCATCACACTCCAGTGGCTATAAAGATGTTCCACTCTAATAGCTCACAAGCCCACATGAAATTTCAACGGGAGGTAAATCCGGTGCAAGTTTCGTATTTCATACTCCTGCTTGCATTAAACGCTATAGATGACAAATGCAAATTCAATAATCAATTCAACCTGTACATTGGGGCTGTCTACGAATTCTATGGCCCTATTATACAAGAATTAATTCCATTTCTGGTACATGCTTTTTGTTTGACATTGGTTTGTGTCTCTATTGGCAATATGGATTCAGGTGGACGTATTGAGTAGGATGAGGCATCCAAATCTCGTAAACCTGATCGGAGTCTGCCCAGAAGCTTGTTCGCTCGTATACGAGTACCTGCCTAATGGAAGCCTCGAAGACCGATTGACGTGCAAGGACAACACTCCCCCTCTTTCATGGCAAACGCGAACCCTCATTGCCACAGGGATATGCTCAGCCCTCATCTTTCTCCAATCCAACGCACTTCACAGGGTTGTACATGGGGATCTGAAGCCCGCCAATATCCTCCTCGACACCGACTTTGTCAGCAAGCTCAGTGACTTCGGTATCTGCTGCTGCTTATTTCCCCGTAAGGCGAACTCGGCCAGCAGCTCCACCCAATGCCATGAGACTAACCCAAAGGGAGTCCTCGCTCACATGGACCCTGAGTTCCTCGATACAGGAGAGCTAATACCAATGTCGGATGTCTACTCGTTTGGAATTGTTTTGTTAAGGCTTTTGACAGGGAGACCAGCGATGGGGATAGTGGAGGAGGTGCAACATGCCTTGGATAAGGGGAAGTTAAAACAAGTGTTGGATGGATCGGCAGGGAACTGGCCTTTTGTGCAGGCACAGCAATTGGCTCATTTGGCTTTAAGGTGCTGTGAGAGGAACCTGAAGAGCAGACCCAACCTTGCGTCAGAAGTGTGGAGGGTGCTTGAACCAATGAGGGCTTCCTGCAGAACATCGTCGCCCTTCTGCCTGGGTTCAGGGGAGCATTGCCGGGCTCCGTCCTATTTCATTTGCCCCATTTTCCAGGTCAGTAGTAAGCTTACTCTGTATATTGGTTGGAACAAATAGGTGTCATTTGAACTGGATTTGGTCCAATGTGAATCCATTAAAATGGACCAGGTCCAATCAATGTCTGGACCAGATATTGATTTAGGATCGGTCCAATTCAATGTCTGGACCGTCCAATCTGTTTAAATTTGTTTTAATTTAGATTGGTTCCAATTCAAACCTGGTCCATTAACAACTATATTCTTATTTTATACCAATGGACCAGATATTGCCTCAATCTAATGTAAATTGGTCCAATTCAATACCAAGCACCAAAATCAATTTGGATGAATTGAAAGAACCAACAAGACATATTGAATTGGACTAAGCACCAATCCGTTCAAATTGATTTTGTCTTGGACGGAATCCAACCCAAAACTGGTCCATTAACACCCCTAGGAACAATAATATAAAATATCATAGTTTCTTGAAGCAGAGAAATTGAAGAAACATGTGAACTGTGATCTTTGATGCAGAGAGTAGACATAGTTGTTGCAAAGTTTTTCTCATTGTATTTATAGTTGAAATTGCAGGAAGTCATGCAAGACCCGCATGTGGCAGCAGACGGTTATACATATGAAGCCGAGGGAATAAGAGCATGGTTGGACAGTGGCCACGACACTTCGCCCATGACAAACCTTAAGCTCGCTAACAGAAATCTCATCCCCAATTACGCCCTCCGGTCTGCAATTCAAGAGTGGCGACACCAGTGACGGATCAGCCATGATTTTTTTTATTTTAGTTTTTACCTTTGTAAAGTATCTCTATTTCTTCTTCTCTAGTTGAAGTTAATTTTTCCATTTTATTTGTTTTGTCTATAGAGCAAAAAACGAAGGTTTATTTGCGTGCAATGTGTAGAACTGTACAAAAATGACGATACACGCAAAGGATGAGATTCTTTGGCGTTTATAACTGATAAAGAGAAACTAGATCTAGATGTTTAGTCTTTAGTGAGCTTTAGAGAAGAGGGTGGCACAAGCGCAAAGCAAGGCATGGGAGGAGCGAAGAGCGAGGAATTTTTTTTTTTTGGTGCAAGCAAATGAAGCTATCCTCTGCACGAAACGAAAGGGGAAAACCAATTGAAGAAAAACCCTTATTTTCTTCAGCCAAGAAAAAACCTGTTGCAGCCAAATGTGGAGTAGAGGGTAATAACTTCGTTTGAGGCCGATGGGTCTAACCTATTGAGAAAAAGAAAGAAAGAAGATATCAGAGGCCACAGGAGTTATTTCAGGGACGAAGACTCCGATGGTTAAGTTAGCAAAGAGCTGCTAGGGGTCGGACCAAGCAAGAGAGGAAACTTAAAGCTTGAGTTCCATAGAGTCTTTACCTTAATATGGGAGCCCCTTTTTATAGTCAGAATTGCCTTAGAGGAGTAGTAGTTGGGAGCAGGTGGTGGTGGTTGGTAATGAATGGTCAAGATGCATCCGACCAACGCCATGTGTCAAAATTTGCATCACATCTCGAGGTCGTACTTCATCTTTAGAACCTTTCGCCTTCAAGATCCGATGGAAAACGTCTCACAACTCAACCAGCCTAGAGGTGTAAAGCGTGTCGTGCCCACAAACAGCCCATGGGCTGTGCTGTGCTGGCCCGCGGGTCGGGCATCGGGCAAGAGCTATTTATTTTTAAAAAATTGACAAAAAACTTAAAATTTTAATTTTATATGAATTTTGTGTATACAAGTGCTTATATATACAACAATTAAATAAATTAGTATAATAAAATTAAAAAAAATATTTAATTTATTTATATATTATTATATAATTATAATTTATATAATACTACATAAACATATATAAAATATATATGTCGGGCTATGCTGGGTCGGGCTGCGGACTGGGCCGTGCCGACTAGCGGGCTACAAGTGGCATGGCTTACTCGGTCGTGCCGTGTTGTACCGGCCCATGGACCTAAAACCCCAGGCCCAACACCGCCCACATGATCATGTCGGGCCTGGTACGGCCTACAGCCCGACTAGATTTACACCTCTAAACCAGACTTGTTCAATTTCAGAAACCCATAATTGGTAGAACCTTTACAAAGCTTCATTTTAACTTCGTGCATTTATGTCAAGCTCTCTTTCTCTCTTTCCTAAAGCTTTTTCTTTCTCTTTTTCTTTTTTTTTGTTCTTCTTTTCGTTTTTTGTTTTTTTCTCTTTTCTTTAATTATTTTATTTTATTTTTGCCTTTTGATTTGATAATGTGATTTTTTTACAATTCCAAAACTCCGATAATGAATTCCAAGAATTTTAGGTCATAACAATGGTTCTTGATGAGGGGTAATTTGGTTTGATCAATCATGTTGCGACACGTGGCCTTCGAGTGACATCTCGGCGCTGAGTAAGCAAACTAGCTTGGAAGCCATCTTGGAGCACCTCGTCCAGGCCAACCTCCACCTTAGTAGGGTCGAACTGGTTGACCTCGTAAGATTAGGACGACTTGTCTTGGAAGCCAGCCAAGCTGTAGGAGTTCATGGCGACCTGCGAGGAAGAGCCCACTTACCCAACAGTACGTTACCAAGCCGAGATCCCTGGAGCATTGATACCTCAACCGTTAGACCGGCCTACCTCATCGCATGCCACGAAGTTACTCGGGTAAATCGTAACCCCACGCGGATCTCGCAACCATACATTAACACGCGCGAACGAAGCAAAAATGGTTCCGTGAGAAGCTCAGGCCTGTTACAAGAGGGCTCTGACCACTGATGCCTATAAAAGGCATAAACTTCTACCTAAAATGGTATGCGTGATTACACATTCTCTGGCTCTCTCAAGCTCTCAAAAGAATTCACAAAACTTCTCTAACTTAAGCATCGGAGTGCCCTCCCCGGGTAAAGACACCTGGGCACTCTAATTCTCTTTCTCTTGCAGTATATATCAACTCAGCCCTAACCAAGAAATAACCAAATCAGAGTCCGAGTCATTAGACACAATGGGGCTTCCAAATCGCGCGACATCAGATCTTCTCATCCCTTTTTTTTATTTTCAATTTTATTATTATTCTCTTATCATTTTTTGTTATTATATTTTTTTGCTTTAAAAAAAACGTTTTTTTTTCTTTTTATTATCATGCCTTTTCCCCTTTTTGTTTGTTTTCCTTCTTACCTTCTTTTTTTCTTTTTTCTTCCTTTTTGATTTTGATTTTTTTGATTTATTAAATTTATTCTATTATCATCATTTCATTGCTTATTTATTTGTCTTCATTTCATTCCTTGTTTGTTTTTAATTTTTCTTCTTCTTTTTTATTTATTTTGTCCTTTCTTGAGAGTTTTTTATTTTATATATACTTTTTAATATTTATAACTTTTCATAATTTTGATTATTTTACCTTCTTATCTTATTTTGTCTTTATTTTTTCTTTTTCTTCTTTTCTTAAAAATCCCCTTTAATTTTTTTATTTTTCCTCTTTTGTATTTTTTAATATTATTTTTTATTTTTGTTTTTGTTATATATATATATATATATGTTTTTTGTTATTTTTATGGGTATTTTTGATATTACTACTTTTCTCATCTTGATTAACCAAGAGAAAATTACTAACTTTTCCTACCCCCATTTTATTTCAATTGTTTTTGCTTTTTTTTCTCTTTCTCTCTCTTTGCTTTTTTTTTTTCTTTTTCTAATTCTATCCTATCAGGTTTTATTTTATTTTTTTGTTACCCACAAATTGTTCAACACATGTGTCCTATCCTGAAATTAGGGTAGTTTTTTCCTAATCCTTTCTAAATTAAAAAATAAACCTCCACCTATCGAACAAATGGGCTTCTCTGGTTGGTGACCGATATTCGGTGCGACTATTGGGACCAAGGCCCCAACGACCTACCACCTAGGACTCTTCCTAATAGGACATAGGATGCAAATGATAAGTGTGAGTAAGCAAATAAGCAGTAGTAGAAATAAAGCAATAATAAAAGAAACTATCTAATAATCATCAAGAAAGAAGAAATTATTATTCTAACAAGTAGAAATAACATGGAATCATGCAATATATACAAGAATAGCACTCAAATCAAATGGGCCCCATGTGGGCCCCACATATGGCCTGAGAACTCCCCAGTGGAGTCGCTACTCTATGAGCATCGGGAAAATAGCTCACTTGGGTTGTAAATGGAGTCGCCACCCATCAATTATGTGAAATGGAGGTGATGGGACCTCCGAGGATGATTTTCAAAACCATTTTATCAAATAGTAACTCCAACGGCCCAAGGCATTGGCTAAACCAGTCCGGGTAAGACTCGGATGGGGGACGAAAGGGGTTAGGCACTCCTCTCTTGGGTCTAATAGATGAGGCCCACATGGGATCTCAAACCAATACAAATGCAAGCACAATTATTTAAAAAAATTGACAATAAAGGAAGCAAACCGCAATAATATGCCAACAAAAAAGAAGAAAGTCCTTATTTTATCTATTTATTTCTATTTTATTTTTCTTATTTTCTTCTCTCTTTTTCTAATTTTCTTATGGAATTCTATTTGTTTATTTACCATCTTTTTCAAAAAAATCCTATTTGTTTATTTGTATTATGGCAATAATGTTTTTTTTTGCTTTCTAATATTAATAGAGGCAAACCCCAAGAAAATCCAAGCTATCTTAGATATGAAACCACCTAGCTCGATTAAGGAGACACAGAGACTGATTGGATGGGTAGCAACCTTGAACCGATTTATGTCCAAATCGGCTAGGAAGTATCTTCCCTTCTTTAAGGCTATAAAAAAAACCAAACCTTTAAGTGGACCGAGGAGTGTCAGCTCGCTAGGGGTGGCAACGAGCCGAGGGCTCGACTCGATTTCAGCCGAGCTCGAGCCTACTAGAGTTTGGCTCGTGAGGCTCGCGAGCCGGCTCGAATATATAAAAAAAAATATATATATATATAATAAAAATATAAAATAAAAAAAATTTATATATAATTTTTATTTTTATAAAATATTTTTTTCTAAATATTTTTATAAGAAAATATTTTTTTCTAAATATTTTTATAAGAAAATATTTATAAAATATAATAAAATATTTTTATAAAATATAAAACGAGTTGAACCAAGTTGAGCTCGAGGTTATGAACTTTTGACTCGAGCCTTGTAGAATAGTCTCGAGCCGAGCTCGAGCTTGGTACTATTCGGCTTAGCTTGGCTCAATCCACCCCTAGAGCTCACCTTTGACAAGATGAAATGATACCTTAGTTCGCCTCCCCTGTTGACTAGACTTGAGACTGGGACGAGCTCAAACTTTACCTCTCCGCAAGTGATGAGGTAGTTAGCTCAGTCCTAATAAGAGAAGTTGACAAAATACAACGACCAGTGTACTACATGAGCAAGGTCTTGCATGCCGCGGAAATGAAATACCCCGACATAGAGAAGCTCGCCTTCACACTAGTGCTAGCCGCCTAAAAGCTAAGACCATATTTCCAAGCCCATACCATTATCGTTTTGACTAATCAACCTCTGAGGCAAGTCCTTCAGAAACCTGAGGTCTCAGGGAGACTGACAAAATGGGCAATAGAGCTCAACGAATACAATATCCGGTACGAGTCACGGCCAGCGATAAAAGCGCAGGTCCTGACAATTTTCATTGTCAAGTGCACCTTCAGCTCACCACCTCTTGAAATGACAGGGCTAGAAGTGGGAAATTCATCCAGTGCGGCACCACCCCCAACCGGCGAGATAGCAGGCTGGGACGAGGAGCCCTGGATACTTCATGTTGATGACTCGTCTAACTAGAGTGGAAGCGGAGCTGGGTTGATACTCTACGGACCTAGCGATGTAAAGCTGGAGTACGCGCTCCGGTTTCAATTCTGAGCTTCAAATAATGAGGCTGAATATGAGGCATTGTTGGTTGGTTTGGCTCTATCAAATGAGGTAGGAGCGAAGAACCTTGAAGTATGTAGTGACTCATAGCTCGTTGTAAATCAAGTGA